TCGAAGAAATCAAGGAGCTTATCTCTTAGATCTCTTAGGATGAGTTTCTTGTGTGTTAGGCTAGACGTAATCGAGCGTGTGCTAGGGCTAGACGTAATCGAGCGGCGCATTATCTAGCTGGGGATGGCTGCCTGATAAATTATGTAAGACTTGGTTTTCTATTCCTCCTGTTTCTTGTTTCTATTCGAGACATTATTGTGTCGCTCGGCCACTTAGTTAATAATAAAAGGCAGCAAGGTTTTCCCCTAAAAAGTTCGCATACCAGAAGAAAAGTCATGCAATTTTCCATCATATCAAGTTGTATGAAGCATAAAAAAAAATTAAGTAATCAAGATTGTGCGTCTACGAACAGCTTCCTCAAGACAATTACCCATGCATAATAGTATTAACAAAAGCGAGGTGATCAAATATTACACTGTCCACAAATGCAACAGTGCCACTTAACATACACCACCTAAGCAACAGTACCACTTAGCATACACCAAGCAACAGCTAGTCAGCTACCACATCATAACATAAGTAGAGCAGATCTCGGCTACCACTACATCATAACACAAGTACAGCAGGCCAAATGAGTTCAGATCTCCTGTCAGCATCAGCCTTTCAAGGTCAGAATCGACGACGGAATAGGGACCAGGCAACACTCACTTCCATAATACATGAGCCAACCTTCAGCACAACAGGACTTATACCGGCCTTCTCAGGTTTTAAGGCTACCTCGGTACTGTCAGCAACTTCATCATCATTAATAGGATATGCCATGGCAGAGACTTTGAGCATCTCCTCAAGGCCAACGGAAACCACACTGCGTGAGAGCTTGACCATGCCATCAGCACCAACAGGCAATCCACCATCTCCAAAATCAAGCAACATGACTTTCAGGTCATCAGCTCTAGTGCTGGAAGCAGTAAACACACCTCGAAAAGCATCTGGCCAAGACCCACCAGTGACTTTTATGCGGATCGTGGCCTCCACAGCGCACATAATGTGATCGTATTTAAATTCAATCGTGCTAATCCTGCTAGGGTAAACGTCACTAAGCACGCATCCAGATCTGAAATTCAAAACTAGCTCGCTTAGGTCTTTATCATCAGATTTAGTGGTCCCCTTCACTTTCAGCGAAACCTCAATGTGCGAAGGTTCCATCGACACAGCAACAGCACGGCTTGGGCCTGTCAATGCTAGATACGGATCCTGCACCAAACAACTATTCAAGTAAATAACAGAGTAATGTTCATCAACAGTAAGACCGCATCGAGTAGAATGCAAACAATCTACTCTATCTATCTTATAACAGAGTATATGGTAGAAGAAGCTTAATGAATCACTAAATCTGACATTGGCAAATGCACAATGGGCAGCACAGATATATCAAAGATGCTAGAGAAGGCCAGGTTAATTAAGGAAAAAAAAGGAAGGAATGAAAGAAGATTTATATACGAACATTCTTATTGATGATTTGGCAGTTATTCCTCTGTCGCTGGAAGATAATGTTGCGCTTGTGATCCAAGATATCACGCACGGCAACCATACCAAACACTTGCAGTGGCCAGCGTAAAGAGTCATCATTGATCGACACGATTTTGAGAGAAACGATCTGCAGAGTTTCCGCGGTCTTGATGTAGACCTTCTCCTCGGGAGTAGGGTAAGTGTAACGCATAGGTGGGATAGATGCTGCATCAATCAATAATGGCCTAGTTAGTTGCATGTAAGTAATGACAGTATGGATTGGCATATGCTGCAATGTAAAACCTCTTCAAACAGGGCTTATTGCTATCGATTCGATGATCCCTATAGGGCGCGGTCAGCGAGAGTTCATTATTGGGGACAGACAGACCGGCAAAACAGCAGTAGCCACAGATACAATTCTCAAGAAAAAAGGGCATGGATTGGCATATGCTGCAATGTAAAATTGGTGGTTTCATTTGATAGATGGCAGAAA